CAGCACGCCTGCCCGCGGTTGCCTGCTGTAGCCGAGCCCGCTGCTGAGGGTGTTTCCGCTACCAACTGCTGCTCTGGGCTGTGTTGTGCCCTGGAAGCACACCTTGAGGGTAGCAGATGCTGCAGACGGCTTTCCAGGGTAGAAATTTCTTTCCTTTTTTATCGAGTGGTGACTTGGAAATTGTGCCGCGTGCTTGGGATTCTGAGTATATCCAGCGGCTTTTCAGGCATGGTGTGACTTTCAATATGTGATGCAGCAAGAAGAGTAGCATTTTGAAAAAAAAACCAAACCCATAAATAAAAGCCCAAAACAACAACGACAAAAACATAAACCACAAAATTTAAAAAAAAATTCATATTTCTTAGTAAATCCTTCACTAACTTTCTATATCTCTGCTATTTCAGGTCTTCAGAAGGCGGCTATTGAAGTCATATGCGAAAATGTTGGGAGAGACTGGAAAATGCTGATACGAAAACTTGGCGTTTCTGAAGTGAAAATGGACAGAATAGTGGCAGCCAATCCGTTGAACTTGCACGAACAGCTGACTCAGTCACTTCGGGAGTGGCAGAAATGGAAGGGAAAAGATGCAAAGGTGACTGACTTAATAAAAGCTCTTCGGGGCTGTAATATGAATTTGGTGGCAGACAAAGTGGAAGAGAAGCTCTTGCCACTGAGCATTGGAACCAGGTGAAATCAATATAAAAACACTTCCACATCCCACAGATATGGATGAAAAAAGTAAAAGTGCCTTCTACTCTTCTGAACCAAAATCAGTATGGCTGGTTCTGTTACTTATTCTGAATTTTTGTGCTTTGATAGGTTGATTGTGGTCAGATGAAGATTAACATAAATTCCTTTCAGGTAATGCTTTGTAGTTTGATGCTTCCTTTAAGAGATTTTAACTTTTGGAATACCTAAACTCAGTTTTGTAGAAATTCTCACACTTTTATTCTATCCACCCACCTGAAAACAAGGTTTACTTTACTGCAGGTACTTTTCAGATGTATCTTCTCTGGAAGTACATCCATGGGACACTTCTGAGGCAACTGTAATTTAAAATTTCACAGGAAGGTTGGTGGGGTTTTTTTGTGGCCTATAATAACTGTAGTGTGAAAGGGGGAAGGAGTAGACCTCTTAGCTGTGTACTGGGTTTTCTTTTTGAGTAGCCTAGCATAGTATCTTCCATAAATTAATATGTTTGCTTTCTGTAAAAGGATACTAAGACAACAATAACCTCAGGCCCAAAGACTGCAGTGCAAGAGGGCCAGTAACTATTTGGTGGCTTTTTCTTGGCAGAAAATGTCCCCAGGTCAAAAATGAACTAGTTGAAGTCCAATGTCTGTATCAAGTGCCTTCATCATCCTGAAGAAAAAGTTCTGAAACTATCAGAGAAATTGCGTGTGTCTCTCAGATGTTTACAGCAGCAGCTTTTTACTGCTGTGAATGTTTTTAAGATTTTTTTTTTTACTAGGAATCCTTTCATAACCTCTACCACAGAGTCTGGTCATATCTGCTGGAAGTTGCAGCTTACCTCAGAAGTAAGCTGCAGTTATCTGTGCTCTTTGTAACAAAAGTGTGTACTGTAACAAAAGCCTAGAAAACAATTTGGTTTCTTTTTAGTGGAGGGGCCTGAAAGCCTACTGAGAGCAAATACATAGTACAGACTTTAGTGATATCTTGTGATACCAACTGTCTTTGCCACGGTTTGTTCTCTTCAAAGGTCGCTCCAGATCCAATAGCTCTTCCAAGTCCTCTGCGATTTTTTAGTTCATTCAAAGAGGATTTATGAAAGAGACCAGATTCAGTTTTCAGCTTTTAATTTGGAACAGACTTCGAAAAACGGCCTTCACATCTAGCCTAAGACTGGAAAAATTGCACAAGCTTCAACACATGCAGGGCTGTCGAGGCCTCTGGGAACTATCCCCTATGCAAGGGGAAAAAGTCCTCTGAAATCATTATTGCTTGAATGAGTAGGATTGTTTGTTGCTGCAGACATCCTTCTAACTACGTAAATAGATACTTGAAGAGGAGAGGCTTCTTACTTGCTACTGTACCTGTGTGACTTTTAGCTCCTTTCAGGTTTTTTTAACATGGTGCCATTACTGTGAAGGCCGGGTGTCAGCACATCGTGTCCCACTACTCTGCATAAATGTTGCGACATGGATAATTCTTGAGTTTTTATTGCAGTTGGTGCTCCTAGTTCAGACAATGCCACTTGAGTACTTGATTGTAGTTACTGGAAACTGCTGTAATGTGAACTTGCCTTTTCATTAAGGTTTTTCCTTAAATGATTCTTACAAGTGTTTTTCTAATCATAGGATATTAAATATCAGTGATTGTATCCAAGCAAGGGAGTAAAAGGTAATACAGAAGTTTCCACTTGTCAGCCTTTCGGGCAGGTACAGTTCTCTGGGTATGGCCTCCTGTACTTGCCAGCATCGTCAATTCCAGACTGCCAGTAGGAGATACAGTGCTGCACTTCAGCTAAGTGACTAGCTCAAAAGTTTTGAAGGTTTTTATTTAATAGAGACAGTCTTCATTCTGCAGTATTTGTAGAAAATGACTGCTTCATGCCTCTAAGCAATCCTTGTGAGCTGAGGGGAGCAGAAGTAAAGTTAGCAAGATGAGTTATGTTTGTGGTGAAACAGCTCTGCAACAGTTCCAAGTTCCATCTGTCCAGTAACATGTTGTTCTTATCCACTTGAAAGAAGTCTTCTGGTTCACATAAGATACATTTATCTGGAATACGAAAAATAGCATGCGGCCTACTGCATGTAACCAGGATATTTTAAGAATCAGTAGGAATAACTTGTATCCAAGCACTGATCAGCTACAAGAAATATTCTGCCTCAGAAGATAAAAACCTCGTTTCTTTAAGGATTTGTATAGGGTGGATGTTTTACTGTGTATGAAGGCAACGACCTAGACTGCATCAATCTGTTCAGTACCTCAGGGCCAATTAAAAACTGTTTTTTTATTGGAGATTAAAAAGTTGATTATGTGAGAACAAAATGGAACAAAGGGAATAAAATTTTTTCATTGGGAGGAGGGGTAAGGGAAAAGGGTGCAATTTATAAGGAAATGTGTTGTGATCCAGTTAGATGTCTTTTATTTTCAAATAAAGTATTTTGCACTCAAAATATTTTTATAACTTGAATTACAGTTTTATATTGTACAATTTTGTGCACATTTCATTAAAAAATACTTCCTTATAAAGATAATAAATGGAGCTGGGGTTTTTTTATATATATTATGGAGCTGGGTTTTTTTTAATATATATTATGGGATTGCAGTGTATGATGAGATTTCTAATTGGGAGAAGATAAATATTAAGAAAGCTTTTAAAGCAAGGAGGGGTGCTAAACAGGCGTTACGTTACCAATGTCCTTCTGGGAACATTAAAAAAAGGGGGGGGGGCGGGAAAAAGCTTTGTCATTGAATTTCTCAGAAATGCTAAAAAGGCTCTAGCTTTCCTAGCAGGAATAGAATTTGAATGCTGTCACTCAGGGAAGCGTAAGAGAAAAAATTCTCTGCCGGCACTGAGGAGCCTGAAAGTGAGTCGCAGTGCGGTATGTGCATGGGAGACAGGCCTGCTGTGAGCGAGCGCCTCGCAATTGTTTTCTTTGCTAGTCATCCTGTGGTAAGGACGTTCTCTTTGGTTTATAATTAATTAAAAACATGGGTTGGAGTTCATTGTCAACCTGTGCAGGCTTTTAAAGGATGTGTTCAGAAGTTGAACTGATGGAGGCTTTGGTGTTCCGTGAAGTGTATACTGGCACTTAAAGCTTTGAATGCGTAAGACACGTAACTTAATGACCCGTTGCATAGAATTCTCTTTGTGAAAGTGTCTGTGAGGAATTACTAAAACCTTTTGCTTGTGGTCTCTTGAGAGTCTTGTTTCCTTACAGCCCTGAGAAAAGAACACATCAAAACATGCTGAGAAGTGTCATCTCAGGAGAATTCTCAGTTTTGGAGGATTTTTTTCCATGCTGCTTCACAGTCCCCTGCAGTACTTGCTTGCTATTTCCTATGGTTTTTGAAGTTACCGATTATATGTCGCATATTAGGTTGTTGGGTTTTTCTAATTGCATCATTTTCATTACTGAGTTAAAAGAAGTTTTCTAGACTTTTAATTAAATTTCCTCTTACAAATTGGTTGCCATGAATATTTCAAATACAATGCTTTGTTTTCCTTTTTCTTCATTCCCCAAACATAAGCAGCTGTATTTCCTCCAGCCTTTGTTTCAGTCCTAAAATAATTGGCTACTTTATGAAATCTAATTGTTTCACGTAATTGTCTAATGCAAAAAGCTTAGTAACACATGCTGTATCTCTGAGCTCTCTCTGCCACTCAGCATGTTCTTAATTCAGGCTTTTTGGTTGAGAACTTTTCAATTTAGTTTTATTTCTAGTCACTGTCTTTGTTTCTTTCACAATTATCAAAAGGTGGTTTGTGCTATTCTACCCGTTCCCTGCATGGATCACCTATGTCCTTAAAACATGTTCCAGCATGGAAAGTATCTTTGTAAGTTGTTTTCCCTCTTTGATTTATTACTACTTTCTTCTGCCAGTATTTTTATTGCAAGGATGCACTGGTAGAATTAGAGAAGCTAGTTCACCATTTCAACTGTATACCATAAAAATACGAATTGTGGGGTTGAGATGAGGGGTCGGGGAGCGAGTTTTGAGTAAAGGTTCAAGAACTTCAATGAATCTGTCTTGGTCTTTGTAAAGAAATTCGTAGTTGAGGATTACTTAACATTCAGAGGGTGTGTTGCAATGGGTTCTGGGAATGGTAGGTTTAAAGAAAAGGAAGCACAGCTTTACTCAGCTGCTGGGAAAGCACAGATTAATGCAGGCTTCTGCATGGGAATCTGAGTGGAATAAACTTACAGGGACTGTTAATGATTAAACAGGCAGAAGTTTCATCTGCAGAACTACTGCTACTGTTTCATTCTCGAGAGCATTACATGTTGATTGCTTAAAACAGACTAAAATGACACAGATTTATTCTTGTAAAATTTGATGTAGTATACATTATGACAATATCTTAGATTGGTAATACTGATTGAGTTTAAATTCAGTAATTCCTGTGATTTGATCAGTGTTGGAAATTGAAAGCTTTTTCATGACTTTCCTGATATGCCATGTGTGCAGTTGTTCCTGTGTTGGTGGTAACATAGCTGCCCTTTCAGCTTGGGGTTTAGCTTGTCAAGAAAGGGGTAGGGCTGTGTTCCTCGCAGGCCCCAGTACTTAAGCCAGCTTGCAAAGTAACCAGCTATTGTAGCAAAGTTAAGGTTTTGCTACGTATTCTCTAAGGTAAAGAGGTTTTGAGGATTAGATTTCCAATATAATGTTGTAGGTACCTTTGCTAAGGAAAACAGCTTAATGTCCACATTGTATGTCTAATGCTTCAAAAAGTTATCAAGCTGGCATTTTTATTTACTTCATAGCGTTCAAGCCTTCGGACCAGGCTCTTGTGCTGTGTGAAGTTACACAGCGATAAAATCGGACCATTGTCATCCGAGGTGTAAAAACCATCCAGCCGGGATTTTCTGTGGTAGGCATTTTATTTACAGGGGAGCCTGGTCGTACAGAACTTTCAAGTGAAGCAATAGTCTTGCAATGAAAAACGTTCACAATTTTTATAATGTTGTTTGCTTTTCCACTTACTCCCATTGATCCCAGCAGGACTGTTAACTTCAGAAAATAATTTCCAGAGTTTAATCAGTGACCACTTCTTACTGTGGTCTAACTTTTGAAAGGGTTTTAACAGCTATTCTGCAAGCGTATGCATTACCTCTGGCGAAGATTTCTCCAAAGGGATGTATGAAGACTGCATTTCTGTACAAAAATTGGTAAGTGATTTTTTGTATGCAAACCTGGGACCAGATTTATGTACAGTGAGCATGTAAACCGTAAGACAGGTTTGGTATAAAAATTAAGCCACAAAACTTCTCTGGTCATTAATGTCTGGAGGTTTTGAGTATTGACAGGCTTTTTGCTTTAGAGTTCTACTCAAAATTGGCTCATCTTTTTCCCACTCTTTTTCAGAATTTGTAATAATTGTTTTTTAAAAAAAGTATTTAAGGAATAGGTTCCCACTTCTGTTAAATATAAAAGAACTAAATATATGAACAATCGAGCTAAATGTTTATTTTTTTTGCCCCACCAGTGGTCTCCCTGCGAGGTGCTTCCTAGGCATATCCCCAAATTTTGAAAAAAAAAGTTGCACAGAAAGTGGGAATTAAAAGGGTGCAGCATCTGGCAGGCCCAGCGTTTCTGGGATCCAAATCCTATATAATTTTTTTCTTTATATTATGCTCGCCATGAGCAGAATTTAGTCACAGCTTCCCAGCTGTAAAATCCCTAATGTGGGAAACCCTGGATAGCCTGAATTACCCCCACAGCCGTCATTGCCATGGCAACCGCCGAGCATGGCAGTACAGCGGGCATGCGGCTGCAGCACGCTGCCTTCTGGCTATCCCAGCCAGCGGAATCAGGTTTGGAAGCTGTTACTAATTGTGAGATTCGCTGCAGTCGCCGGTCGGTGACCATGTCAAAAATCCAAGCTCCAAGGGCAGAGACGTAAAATGAAATTTCTTGCCTGAATTCTCTCCTCTCGGTTCCCCTGCCCCACTGGGACAGTGCAAGAAAGCGCAGGGCTGGAACTGAAGAAATTTACTTTCAACGTCTTTCTAAACCCCAGCTGAGCACATGGAGCTTCCATTTCTGTATCCAGGTTGAACAGTAAAATTCAAACTTGTGTGTCTAACTGCATGTTTGTGCATGAAGTAGCTAATATATATGCACATGAATTAAAATTAAGTAGAGCTAAAAACAACAAAGTGTACATTTCTAGCTAGCGGCTACTTGCAGCTCTGTTCTATACCACCTAAATAAGTTATTTGCTCATACAGCTCATACCTGCTCATACAGTTTTCTGTAAAACATACTCTATTTTTCACAAAAAAATAGCACTTTGATGCTAAAGAATGTCATGTCTCCATATGGTACATGTGATTCTTTAAATCAAAATGTCCAGTTCCACATCTGGTCTGTGAATTTTAAGGGATGTTAAATGTTACGGTAGATCTTGGATGACTGTATTTACAAGGCCCCTTGTTCCATGCGGTATTTTTTCCTTTCATTTCCTGGAACTTCACAGTTACCAGCAATCCAGCCCTGACTCACTTTGAACCTTTACTCATATGACCGAACGAGCAAAGAAGAATTTAAACCCTGTAGTTTCATGTTAGACAAACGTAATAAAACAGTAAGTGCCTTACTGGGAGCAGGAGGCACGCACAAACCATGGGCTTTGATTGCAAGGGTAACTCTGTGGAGGGGACCCTCATTTTCCATCCTCTATTCAGTACACAAATAAAGTGCTGGGAGAGGAAGGTGTCCGGATCCTGGACAGTCCCCAAGCTGCTCGGCATACGTCAGCGATGCTTGTGCTCCCTACAGCCTCTGTGGGTAACTAAAAGCAGCGGGAGCATGGTGCAGGATACTCTGATCGTGATCTTATCCCTAGGAATATCTCCTCCTTTCTCCTCGTGTTGCTTAATGTGGGCACGGACATGGGAAAGCTCATCAGAGTGAGAAATCAGCCCTAGAAATTCCTGATTCTCCAGTAATCGTTTCCCCTGGAGAAGCTATTGAGTCGCGTGAAATGACCAGAACATTTTGCAGCCTGAAAGCCAAAGGCAGATTTCACCTGTCTTTACTTCTGTGAATTAAGGTTTGCAGAAGCGTCTCGACCAACAGCCTCAAAGTAGGTACCATTGCAAAAACAGCTGGAGTACTGAACCAGTATTAATATCGATCAACACCTTTGAAAATCCCGCGTTTGCTTTCACATATAATGTAATGCCATTGTTTATGCAATTTCTAGGTTAGTATTCTTACTGTTTGGTAGATGATCATTGTTAGGGATACTTGCATTTAGGTTGAACTGAATTTTTTGAGGGCGACTGTTTTAATAATCCGTGACTCAAATAGGGTTGTGCCATGTCTTCTGCTGGAAGAGGCCTCACCAGCAAAGCCTGATGTCTGTTGCTCAGGTCTGAGTTGTGGGGAGCTCAATTTGTCTTGTGAGGTCTGAGAAGTTCCCACAGACTAATTCAGAGGAATTACAGAAAATTATGGAAAAATCTGATCACAGTATCTTTTATTTAAACGGTACCTGAAGTCCCCCATAGGCTTGTCCCATTTTCTCCTTTAAAAGGTTACTTTCATCCCTTATCTCCCTCCTGCAAACCCATCCCCCCACATATATCATTAAATGTTGAATAATTATAACACACAAGCCTGAGGGAGGACAAACATTGGTTTTCTTGGTGGTCTGAAGAGGACTCTGACATTTCTTGAATCACCCCTAGTTACTCAGCCAGCCTGTTGCAGTGGGTTTTAACGTGTTCGAATAGGATATGACAACCCTGGCTAGGGAAAAATGGGCATTGATGGGACTGCCGCAGTACCTGTAAGCAGGTCAGGGAATATCCTGATTTTGAAACGTTATCATGTCAAAAGTTACAGCGGCAGTGGCAGCTTCCTGTTTTTTCCATGCAAAGAGAAGTAATGGGGAGCTGCTGGACGATGAATGCTGCCAGCTTCTTTTGGTCGCGTATTTTGGTACTGCAAAAGTGGCGTTATTAAAGGCAGACCAAAAAAGCCTCGAATCACGCAATCAAACTGAACCCCAGGAGCTGAAAATCCCTTCCGTTGTGCGCTAAGAACTAACCAGTGTCTGTACGCGCAGGCTTTTCTGCAGCATTTTGGCTGCAAACTGGTAAGAGATGCTGTCTCTGTGCGCACTTCAAACTGGGAGTCAAGAACCTTCCCCACTGCTGCTACTGGACATCCTGACTTTCCTGCAGAATGGATGATAAAACAACCCAATCCAGCAAAATATCACTGGATTTGGTAACTAAAACTTTAAACTGTTACTGTAGATTTTGGTTGCATAACATTTGATGATTCTGTTTACAGCAAAAATCTGGTACTGCAGAACTCATTTTTGATGTATCACACTGAATATTCCCTTTATTAGCTGGATATCCATGGACATGTAGCGGGTAAATGCTGAATACTTATGCAAGGAACATTACTGTTTGTACACCGCTGAAAGACATATCGGAATCAAACCCGTGCCATGTTATTTTGCTGAAGGGAAACTGTACAGTTTATTATGGGAAACAAAGAAAGTGTTGGGCTTGAAAATGACGTGCGTCCCAAATCCTGATACACTTGTGTACGTGTATACACACTTCTCTCTCTCTGCATGCGTTTATAGCCTGTGTATACATATGCATACATACACACACCCTTGAGTAAAACTATTTGATATAATCTGGAAAACCAAACCTTCCTGACAGGGCTATTTCTCAGTACTGCTTCTCAAACTTACGTCTATCACATATAAGCTATATACTGTCTCTGTAAAGAAGTATATCCCTATGACAATCTCCAGGAGCAGCCCTAGTTTTTCTGGAAACAACTGTGTTGTATTTCTGGGCCACCACTAAATGTTAAGTACAAATTCAGGGCCAGCTGCTGCATCTTCAAGAGGCAGAGCAAAAGTGATTTTAAGCCATTGTTTTAATCTTGCAGATATAAATGCAAGAGTTAGCTTAATTCCTAGGATATGTTAGCGCAGTCATCGGTTACTATAATTTTCAATGTTTTCCTTCAATCTAATATTTTGGGTCAATAGAAAAACCTGTGATGCTCTTCTCTTCCCTGTTACTTGTGCTCTTGCAGGCAGCGGCTGTAGGTACCAAGGAAGCGATTTAACAGGCACAGCGCAGTTTAGAAACGATACACCCGACCAAAGCAAAAGGAAGAACCCTTCCTTCTCCTTCTGCACGCCCTTTCCTGATGCCCCTAAACGCTAACGGGAGAAGACGGGTGAGTCCCTGCGGGTTTAGTCTTTGGCTTCACAGGTAAAAACTGCAAAGAATGAGTTGGCGCCAAGTTCCTCGATGGCTTTTGTGGCAAGGGCAACAGCTCCCTAGGCTGAAACTGCCAAATTAGTCTTACCTTGGCTAGACTTCATATTTTACATTGGTATATGAAGAAATTTTAATGATTCCTGGAAGTTCTAGGCGTTGGCATTTAACATTGTTTAAGGGACAAAGAGAAGTTATAGTTTATTTGGATTTGCAGGAGGATCTGACCTGTATTTGGAGTAGTGATTGATCGATTGTATGTAACACGAAGGGAAAAAGTGACGAATATTCCTCTAGCTCTTTGCGCAAAAGCTGGAGTGTATTGTGAGAGCTTAACTTCCAGGCCTCAGCTAGAACCTGCTCGTGAGTCAATATTTGTGTTGACTCTTTTAAAAGTGAATTACAATGCAATCAGATGGTGTGGTCAAAGGGTCTTTAGTAAGGACTGTGTGCAGGGGAACAAGGAATTTAGCTTTGAAATAAATCATTTGCCCCGCTTTTTATGGCACTGATGGACAATGTCAGCTCTCCTGTTTTTACTGTTATGAGCCATTCCTCTTTATATCTCACACGTGGCCTTCAGCCATTTCCTAAGGGTTTCTTTTGTTATTCTCACTTTGTTTAAGCATTAACTTCAGACAACGAGAAGGCTTCTTCAGCTTTTGTCCACCTTCCTAGAAATGATGATTTCTTAACCAAGAGCAGGGAGAGGACTACCTTTCATACCTTTTTCTCTTGTTTGTTCTCTTGCAAGCTACATGCTACGTAATCGTACTTTCAGCAGCTGGATTGTGAATGGCATTTTATTTAATAAATGCCAGCATTAATTAATTGTAATTTGTCAAAAGCTGTGTAAACACCTCCATACAAAGGAACAAGACATTCAGGCAAACAGAAAAAGGCATAAAGAAAACTCGGGTGACTAAGAGTATTATCTGGCACAACACAGGGAGAAATCTTTTGTTGGTAGCTAAGATGAGTCAAAAGACTACACATGTAGACCTTGATGGCAGCTGAGGACAGGTTGGATCAAACCTCGGGTGAAGATAAACCCACTCCTGTAAGCTGCTTGAACTCAGAGGACTGACCCACGGGGATCAGTCAAGAAGCACAGTCTGCTTTATATGAAGTCAGACTCCAGTTAGAGCAGGCGATATGTGTGTGTTTGTGCTCATAAATGTCCATATAAAGGGGTGCGTGGCGAGAGCCCGTTCTCGTTGTCATCCCTGCTGTCGCCACGGCCGTCTCTGCAGGAGTTTCTGTACACACCACTGCGGTGCGGGCACCACTGTACGCACAAAGCCCAGCCCCCCCGGGACTTGGCGCTTGTGTCTTTGGGACAGACAGAAAGCCATGTTATGCCAATATCAAACAAGAGGTTAATATAATTAATTACAGCAGCGTTAGCCTCTCTTTCCAATGTAAGTACTGCTCGGTAGTAGCTACCTGAAGCTGCATATGACTTGCTCTGTTCTTAATGTTTTTGGTTTTGTTTTTTTCTAGAAGGGGATGCAGAAACTGGATGCTGCATTTGAGCTTCAATTGTATAAATGAAAAATTGCTATCAAAGTCAGGAGAATTAGGTATTGTGTCTGGAAGGCATAAGTATCGTACATGACAATTAATAACACTGATGGAG